TATATATATATATATATATATATATATATATATATATATATATATATATATATATATATATATATATATATATATATATATATATATATATATATATATATATATATATATATATATATATATATATATATATATATATATATATATATATATATATATATATATATATATATATATATATATATATATATATATATATATATATATATATATATATATATATATATATATATATATATATACATATATATATATATATATATATATATATATATATATACATAATTAAAAATACAATACAAATATTACTAAATACATTTTAAATACATTTGAATAATTATATTCAAATATTAAAATCTAAATCAAATCAACAATTAATCAACACAAAATAATTTCTGAAGGATTGTGTGACAATTTACAAATATATATATATATATATATATATATGTATAAATATATATATATATATTTATATATATATATGTAACACAGAAAACAGACATTTCAAATACTACATTATTATATATAACTGAATAAATAACAATAATTATAGCTGTTATTATTAGTAATAATAATAATTGTTGTTTTTATTATTGCTTATAACATGAAGTAGACATGCTTATTTATTTTTGCACATACTGTTAATTTTTATTTCATTAATTTATTTAAATTAGTTTAATATATAAAGTGTTACATTTGCTTTTTCAAAATATTAATAATAAAATATACTGGAATATTTTTTAAACATAACATTACATTATTTATTATTTCATAATTAATCATAAAATAATTTCTGAATTATTGTTTGACACTAAACACTGGTGTAATGATGCTGAAAATTCAGCTTTAATCATCTTTAAATTATGCATTAAAATATATATATATATATGTAGATATATATAGAAAACAGTGTTTTCAAATGCTAATAATATTTCAGAATATATTTGCAGAATATGCAGTGTTTGTGAGCAGAACAGACACACAGTGTTGCTAATAGTGTTCAATATTTGTGTTGTCTTAGTGTTGTTACCCTGCACTGGAAGAGCTGGCAGAGTCCAGAGGGATGATGAACGGCACAGCGCTGTCCCTCCACCAGCGTCTGCTCCGAGAACAAGCACATCGCTGCAGAAAAACACCAGCGAACACACAGGTGAGCATTCACAGAGCAACATCACACACAAAACTACACACAAACACACCGAGCGCATGATAAACGGGTCAACTGAGGGATTCTGTGCTGCGGTTTCAGAGAAAAGCAAAGCAGAAAATTCCCGAAACCTGCTGTATAATGCCAGAAGACACGCAAAACTGCAGACAGACGATCATTGCTGGAGGATAATTACTCCCACGACACCAATTACCTCAAGTAAATACTGAGAGATGCTGGAGTGAATCATATCTGCTGAATCACTAAAGAACAATTCCTCTGATCACAGGCAGATAAGTTCCTATCTGCTGAATCAGTCACAAATGATTCATCAGATCACAGATTATTTGTTCATTTCTGCTGAATCAGTCACAAATGATTCCTCTGATCTCAGGCAGAATTGTTGATATCTGCTGAATCAGTCACAAATGATTCCTCTGATCACAGATAATTTGTTCATTTCTGCTGAATCAGTCACAAATGATTCCTCTGATCTCAGGCAGAATTGTTGATATCTGCTGAATCAGTCACAAATGATTCCTCTGATCACAGATTATTAGTTCATTTCTGCTGAATCAGTCACAAATAAATGTGCTAAATCAGTCATGAATTATTCCTCTGATCACAGAAAGATGCATTCATATCTGCTGGATCACTCTTAAATGATTCCTCAGATCACAAATGTGTTTGTATTTGGTGAATCAGTCATGAATCAATCTACTGAATCAGTCATGAATGACTCTGCTGAATCAACCATGAATGAATCTACTGAAACGGTCATGAGTGAATTTGCTGAATCAATCTTGAATGAATCTGCTGTATCAGTCACAAATGATTCATCTGATCACAAGGTTTTCAAATCTGCTGAATCATCAATCATGAATGAATCTGCTGATTCAGTCACAAATGATTCCTCTGATCACAAGCAGATGTTCAAATATGCTGAATCAATCATGAATGAATCTCCTGAATCAGTCATTAATGAGTCTACTGAATCAGCTATAAGTGAATCTGCTAAATTACTCATGAATGAATCTGCTGAATCAGTCATCAATAAATCTGCTGAATCACTCTTGAGTGAATCTGCTGATTCAGTCATGAATGAATCTGCTGAATCGGTCACAAATGATTCCTTTGATCTCAGGCAGAATTGTTAATATCTGCTGAATCAGTCACAAATGATTCCTCTGATCACAGATTATTAGTTCATTTCTGCTGAATCAGTCACAAATAAATGTGCTGAATCAGTCATGAATTATTCCTCTGATCACAGAAAGATGCATTCATATCTGCTGAATCACTCTTAAATGATTCCTCAGATCATACATGTGTTTGTATTTGGTGAATCAGTCATGAATCAATCTACTGAATCAGTCATGAATGACTCTGCTGAATCAACCATGAATGAATCTACTGAAACGGTCATGAGTGAATTTGCTGAATTAATCTTGAATGAATCTGCTGTGTCAGTCACAAATGATTCATCTGATCACAAGCAGATGTTCAAATATGCTGAATCAAGCATGAATGAATCTGCTGAATCAGTCATAAATGAGTCTACTGAATCAGCCATAAGTGAATCTGCTAAATTACTCATGAATTAATCTGCTGAATCAGTCATCATTAAATCTGCTGAATCACTCTTGAGTGAATCTGCTGAATCAATCATGAATGAATCTGCTAAATCAGTCATAAATGATTCCTCTGATCACAAGCAGATGTTCAAATCTGCTCAATCATTCATAAATGAATCTGCTGAATCCCTCATGAATTTATCTGCTGAATCAGTCATGAATGAATCTGCTGAACCAGTCATGAGTAAATCTACTGAATCGGTCATAAATAAATCTGCTGAATCAATCATAAATGATTCCTGGGTTCAGAAATGTGTTTGTATCTGGTGAATCAGTCATGTATCAATCTACTGAATCAGTTGTGAATGATTCCTCTGATCACAGGCAGATGTTCAAATCTGCTGAATCAGTCATGAATGATTCTGCTAAAAACAAACAGCACTTCAAATCTGCTGAATCATTTGTAAATGAACCAGCTGAATCAGTCATGAATACATTTGCTGAATCAGTCTTGAATGATTCATCTGATCACAGGCAGATGTGTTCATTTATGTTGAATCGGTCACAAGTGATTCCTCAGATCACGGACAGATGTGTTCATATCTGCTGAATCAGTAATAAATGATTCCTCAGATCACAGACAGATGTGTTCATATCTGCTGAATCAGTAATAAATGATTCCTCAGATCACAGACAGATGTGTTCATATCTGCCAAATCAGTAATAAATGATTCCTCAGATCACAGACAGATGTGTTCATATCTTCTGAATCAGTAACAAATGATTCCTCTGATCACAGACAGATGTGTTCATATCTTCTGAATCAGTAACAAATGATTCCTCTGATCACAGACAGATGTGTTCATATCTTCTGAATCGGTCACAAATGATTCCTCTGATCACAGACAGATGTGTTCATATCTGCCGAATCAGTAATAAATAATTCCTCAGATCACAGACAGATGTGTTCATATCTTCTGAATCGGTCACAAATGATTCCTCTGATCACAGACAGATGTGTTCATATCTGCTGAATCAGTAATAAATGATTCCTCAGATCACAGACAGATGTGTTCATATCTGCCGAATCAGTAATAAATGATTCCTCAGATCACAGACAGATGTGTTCATATCTTCTGAATCAGTAACAAATGATTCCTCTGATCACAGACAGATGTGTTCATATCTTCTGAATCAGTAACAAATGATTCCTCTGATCACAGACAGATGTGTTTATATCTTCTGAATCAGTAACAAATGATTCCTCTGATCACAGACAGATGTGTTCATATCTTCTGAATCAGTAACAAATGATTCCTCTGATCACAGACAGATGTGTTCATATCTGCCGAATCAGTAACAAATGATTCCTCTGATCACAGGGAGATGAATTCATCTCTGCTGAATCAATTATGAATGATTCCTCAGATCACAGGCAGATGTGTTCGTCTCTTCTGCTGCATTAATTTCAGCGTCAGGCATTGAAGCAGCTCTGGAAGTGTAATTACAGTGAGTGAATTTCATAATTAAAGCTGCGCTGCATTATTTAATGGCAGGTTTGTGTCATTTGCACGCAGTTTGTGAGCGCAGCAGGAGATCAGACGTATTGCAGAAGCAGCAGAATGAAGCCGTTTCATCAGATAAATTAACACAGATGAAAAAATGATCAAGATTTAATGTGTGTTTGAGTCAAACGTTCACCTGAAGCTCTGAGATCGACTGTTCATTTGAAGCTTTAGTTGAAATGGAAACTGAATGAACACTAATGACCTGGATATTATGAACTGAATTTGCTTTATTTCAAAGTAAAACAATGTTTATTCACATTTTTACTGTCATAATGATAAGTTAAAGCCGCCACAGTGGCGCAGTGGGCAGTGGGTGGTCACTGGTTCAAGCCTCGGCTGGGTCAGCTGTCCTGAACTTGTCTGTAGTGTATGTGTGTGAATGAGAGTGTAGATTTACCTATCTCAGTCTAAAGCACAGGGTGCAAGAGCATTAAGAGCGTGTCTGAATCCACGTCTGCTATTTTAAGGATTTTACTGATTTGATAAACTACTCAGCACCACAGAATTGGCTTATTGAAGGCAAACGTTTATTGTACAACTAGACATTGTTTAATCCAAAATGTAAGACCATGTAAAATAGCATTTAAGACTTTTTAATAAATGTTTAAGGGCCTTAAATTTCTCTGAATGGGTTTATCAATTTTTAATACTCTTTAAGACCCCTGCAGACACCCTGTATTAAGTGTTTGGACCTGCATAGCTCCGCGCTCTGCTGGACTTAAAAGCAGCTTTTAGTTGGTTCCTATTTAAGTTCCTCAAAATAGCAACACGCAAAAAAATGCGCCCTAACACAGCTCCTTTATAGACCAGCACACACATGAGTCCACAAAGCAGCACAAATGCATTTGCTAATTAAACAACCTGCTGCACAATGTGAACATTAGGGTCGCGCTGGTCTGAAAACAGCAACAAGTCAGGCCAAACACGCCTTACTGCATCGAGTGTATGATAGGGCCCTGTGTTTTTATTATTAATATTATATTTATTATGATTTTTATTTTCATGATTATTAGTGTGCATATAAAAAAAACTATATAACATGTGAGGAGACACGTGATTTTATAGTTTACAAAGACAAAATGCAAAGAAATACAAACAGACAAAAAATAAACAATAAGTCATTTATTGCTTACTGATGTTCTACGACATATATATATATATATATAATTAATAATAATTTAAGAATTAAATAAAATGATATATGTATTATATAATTTAATATATTTACTAATATATAATTATAGAAATTATAAATAGTAATCATAAAATACATTTGAATAATTATATTGAAATCTTATAATATTATAATATTATAATATTACAACATATATTATTATTTAATAACATAAAATGATTTCTAAAAGATTGTTTGATCACTAAAATTCAGCTTTTAATCACAGCTATTAATTACAATATACAAAATAAATGAACAGAAAATAGCTATTTTAAATACTACATTATTATCATATATAAATTAATAAATAATAATTAACTATTATTATTATTAATGATGATGATATTGTTTTTTATTATTATTATTATTATTATGAAGTAGACTATTTATTTTTGCCCATATTGTTTAATTTATAAATAATTAATTTAATTTAATTAGTGGCGTCATGGTGGCTCAGTGGTTAGCATGATCGCCTCACAACAAGAAGGTCGCTGGTTTGAGCCTCGGCTGGGTCAGTTGGAGTTTGCATGTTCTCCCTGTGTTGGCGTGGGTTTCCTCCGGGTGCTCTGGTTTCCCCCACAGTCCAAACACATGTGCTATAGGGGAATTGGGTAGGCTAAATTGTCCTTCGTGTGCGTACGTGTGTGTGAATGAGTGTGTATGGATGTTGGGGTGCAGCTGAAAGGGCATCCGCTGTGTAAAACATATGCAGGATAGGTTGGCGGTTCATTCCGCTGTGATAACCCCTGATTAATAAAGAGACTACGCTGACAATAAATCAATGAATTTAACTAGTTTAATTCGTATCTATATAGTGTTACACTTGCATCTTCCACATTTAAGATACTCGTACACTAAGGCTAGCTCACAACAGCAATGAGCGCTAACTCTGAAATTAGCATGGACGTCAGCCATGACTAATAATACAGCAGGGTCATCTTCACTTCTTAATTACGTGTGGATTAACGAGCTGTGAGGATAATGACTGGGCTGTGGAGGCAGACGCTCATCAGTCGATCAGGAGGACGAGTAAACAAAACAACACACCACGCTTCAGAGCTGATCGAAATCTGCATAACCCTCATTTATTGGCTTGTGATAAATAATTGATTTGAATATGCAAATGAGCTGCTTGACACTTCTGGATGTGGGTGTAGCTTAGCAACAGAAGAGTGTGGTCAGTCGTCAGGCAACCGAGTGTATGTGTGTGAATATTGGTGTGTGTGTGTGTGTTTATATGTGTGAGTGTGTGTGTGTGTGTTATGTAGGTTTATGTTTTATGTATATTTGTGTGTGTGTGTGTGTGTGCGCGTGCGCGTGCATGCGCGTGTGTGTGTGTGTTTGAATGTTAGTGTGTTTATTTATTATTATGTGTATGCATGTGTGTATACAAATGTGTGTGTATGTGTGCACATGTATTTGTGTTAGTTTGTGTATGGGAATGTGTGTAGATACCATTGTGTTTGTGTGTTCATATATGTGTGTTTGTGTGGGCATGTATATGTGTTTGTATGTGTGTATGTTTGTGTGTGTGTGTGTGTGTGTGTGTGTGTGCGCGCACATGTGTTTGTTTGTTTGTTTGTTAGTTAGTGTGTGTGTTTTATGCGTAGATACCATTGTGTTTGTGTGTTTATATATATATATATAAATGTGTGTCTGTGTCTGTGTGTGTGTGTGTGTGTGTGTGTGTTTAGATATGTTTGTTTGTGTGTGTGTGTGTGTACATGTATATACAAATGTGTGTGTTTGTGTAAATAAATGTGTTTATTTATGTGTGTGTATGTGTATCCTGTGTTTTTGTTTATATGTGTGTATTCTGTACATGTGTGTTTATTGTGTTTGTGTGTGTGTTTATAAATATTTATACATCTGTGTTTGTGTTTATATACAGTATGTGCGCATGTATGTTTATGTATGTTTGTGTTTATATGTGTGTATATTATGTGTGCGCGCGCATGTATTTAAATGTGTATGAGTGTGTGTAAATATAAATATATGTGTGTTAATGCTTATACGTGTGTGTTTGTGTATATAAATGTGTATCTATATATGTGTATGTGTGTGTGTTACTCACGCTGACACTCTTTACAGCAGGTTCCTGTCACATATGCAGGGGTCGTACCATCAGGACAGTCCAGCGGGGGACACAGAATCTTCTCACAGCGGACCGTTCCATTCTGCAGAAGATCAAAGGCTCGGTCAGTGATGCTGGAACGTCTGGTTAGTATCTGCAGTGTAACACTGATCTGCGCACTGTGATTTCTGCAAGGACGGTTCATAGGAATGACCTTGGTTGATTTGCTAAATGATTCACAAAATGATTTGCTAAATGATTCATGAAATGATCTGCTGGCTGGGTCTCATTTGGAAGGCTGCGTCAGCCGCATACATCACTGTCTTATTGAAGAACAGAAACGCTTTCACTGCACAGTCAGAAAAGATTATCTGTAATTTACACATTATAGGGAGGAACAGTCGTTTTATTACGCTTAAATAAGACTTTGTTGATGAAATACGCATCGGCGAATCCTTCATAATGAGATTCAGCAGCAAAAATAGGAGCTAAATATTCAATAAACGATTTACTCACAGGTCCCGGTGAAATTAAAATAGCGATTTTGTTCTTTTTAGATGTCAGTATCAGAACTGGACATCTCTAAGCTAGTGCACTCCAAAATTCACAATAAGTAGATATAAACCTGATATAACATCTAAAGTTTGTAGTTTGTCTTAAATAGATCAACGATTTTTTTGTCATCGCACTTCAATTTATGATAAAATTTTTCAACAAATCAGATGCTCTCTAGTAGCTGACATGCCCACCCCCTTCGTTCTCATTGGCTTTTCATATTATCCGCTTAAGCTCAACCACTCTTATTGGCAGAGCTGTGATAATTACGAAACGCTATTGACTGTTTTTTTAAAGGGGGAGAAGCTACTATATGCTCCGCCCTCTCTTCATGTTTCAGTTGAAATTACGTCAAACATAAAATAAAGACCATTAACAATTTGTTTAGTGATTTCTCACAAAACTATTCACTTAACTATGACTATCTTTCACTATAACCAGATATAATCATAACTATAACGATAACTATAGCTAATACTTTAGATAAAACTATTTCTATATTTATAATATTGACAAACTATAACTAACAACATTTAAAACTATAACGATAATCATAGCTATAAGTACATTCGTAACTTTGAAGTCAGCTGTAGTTATGATAACTATAATTATAGCTACAGCTACAATAATAACTATATCTGTAACTATAAATGTAACTATAACTTCCGCTATAGTTGTAACGATTTGTTTAACGATTTTATAAATTGCTCACAAAATTATTCACTTAACAACTATGGCTATCTTTAATGATGACCAGATATAATCCTAACAACCATAACGATAACTATAGCTATCACTTTAATTATAACATAATTATTTCTATATTTCTAACATCGACTAAAACAATACTGTAACGACATATGACAATGATTTTATAGCTATAACTACATTCGTAACTATGATATTAGCTATAGTTATAAAGATAAAAGGTACAGCTACAATAATAACTATATCTGTAATTATAAATTTAACAATAGCTTTAGCTATAGTTGTAACAATAACTATAACATATACTATAGCAATAACTGTACATATAATTATCACAGAAAACAACTATAAAGCAAAACTACGTAACTGTAAAACAATATCTATCACCGCAACTTTTTTGTTAACTATATACACTATATATAACTAATATAATGACTATAGTTATCATTATTGCTACTGTTAGTTACTGAAATCGTTACTATGATTATAAAATAAGTCATATTTATGGTCATTGTAATTGTGGTGAACATGACATTAGCTATATTTATAACGATAACTATAATTATAGCTATAAGAATAGCTATATCTGTAATATGAAATTTACTATAACTTCAGTTATAATTATAACAATAACTTTTTAAATGATTAGTATAAGCGATTGTATAAATGCCTCACAAACGATTCACTTAATAACTATGACTATTTTTCCCGATAATCATATATACGTGATCCTAATAGCTATAACGATAACTATAGCTATCACTTTAATTATAACATAACTATTTCTATATTTATAACATTGACTAAAACTATAATTGTACAACATATACACAACGAAAACTTTATAGCTATAACTACATCCGTAACTATGACATAACTATAACAATAACTATATAATTATAAATTTAACTATAACTAGCTATAGTTTTTACGATAACTATAACAACTGTAGCTTGTCTCTCTATGTGGGTGGAGTAATACACCACAAGGGTGAAGAGGCTGTACGAGTGCTGGTATTGCAGTATATCGCAGGGCTATCTGCCAATCCGATTCGAGAACCACACGGAACTATTGTATAAATCTACTATCACAATTATCACACTACTATCTACTATTACAACCATTTCTTCGTTAACGATAACACTAACTTTTATTTAAACTATATACATATGGTAACTAGTACAATGACTATAATTATTGTTGTTACTGTTAGTTACCAATTTAATTATTATGATTATAAAACTATAGTTATATTTATGGTCATCGTCATTGGTGCGAACAGACTTGAATGTGAGAAAAGTACTGTAATATTTATTTGTAGTTAAAGTAGAGTTGTTTCTGTGGTTGATTTCTATGCAAGAAAAGAATTATTGTTACATAAAACAACTGTAAAACAATAACTATCACAAAAAATCAATAGCATTATCTGCAATTATTAATTTAACGGTAACATTAGCTATATTTGCAACAATAACTTATATCGATAGCTATAACTTTTACTGTTATGTGACTATACAATGACTGTAGTTATAATGGTTAGTTACAAATATAGTTGTGATTGTATTTTAATTTAAATAAAATTATAATATAAATAATATTTACGTTTCTCGTCATTGGTGTGAACTAGAGATCTGCGCGGGACTAAATTTTGAATCCCGCTCCCGCCACTTTAGCCTGAACTCGACCGCTCCCGCTTATATACAGCATTTGTTGTCCCGCTGCCAGACCCGCCCTGTTTTCTATCCGCCACGCTTCGTTTTCTATCTGCCACGCCTTTTCCTGCTAACGGACAGGGGGGGGAGCAAAAACGAAAACCACCCAGCCATATATAACAAGCTGTCTGTATAAACACACACATAAGCACCAAGCAAGTGACACACACAGACAGCGTGTGTCTCTAATTCACACACACACAGAGCACAAAGCTCCAAAATTAAACCAGTTACCGACCGCTTCCCCGCTTTATTCGAAAATTTATTCCCGCGGCGCTCGAAATCTGCAGACCTCTAGTGTGAACAGGCTTTAAAGTCTGCATGAACCAGAAGCTGCGACTGTTTTTTTTTTTCTTCGTATTGTATTGCAAGAAACGAATCATTAAATGAGAAACAGTGGGCGTGGCTTGTTTTTTCTACTGCGAGCTGATTGGATGTAGTAAAGTAGACGTGTCATTCAGACAGATAGGGAAAAGGGGTTTGGGAAAAGTTATTACAACCTAACAGACTCCTCCTCCTCCTCACTATTTCTGATTGTTGTCATAGCGATGTCAAAGCTGACCGTTGGAGGGGCGTGGCTAAGCATGTTAGCCCCGCCCACTTCCTCAGACAGACCTAATCTGAGAATTTAACTAAAAATTCAGATGTTAATTAAAGATTACAAGAGCAAACTATTTTTGCTTTCTCAAAGCCATGCACAGATGAATTGTTCAGCACAAAACTAGCGACGCAAGCTAGCTAAATAAATATCGCTAGCTTTGATTTCATGTGAGAACACAATGCCATAGTCAAAAGTAGAGCGGTGTCAGTGGTTTATTTTTATGCGAGAACACGCAGTTGTGTTAAATTTTAATCCTCTGATCTGGAGCTCCGTCAAATATTCATCAGCAGAAGACGTATAATCACGCTTGTCGCCTGCAGACCTCGCTGTACTCGCTGAATAGGGCTTAATCATGACTAGACGCTGTTGTTAGCTCAGCCAATCAACCGGTGTGCAATTAGCTCATTAGCGGCGCGCGAGTTCGGTAAACACTGGAATGCCACTGAGATTTGCATGTGCTGGAAAGTCAGCAGATACTGTGAGGTGAGGAGGATTCTCTCATTACACATTCACTGAGCAGTAAAGCAGCACAGCCTCCACAGTCTCCAGGCCAATCTGCTGCTGCTGCTGCTGCTGCTCACAGAGGTTTAGAGGAGACACTGTAGTGCAGCAGAGACACGCGCACACACTGACACAGACAACAGAGTCTGTGTGTGTGTAAGTGTGTGTGTGCACCCGTGTGTGTGTGTGTGCGCGCCCGTGTGTGTGTGTGTGTTATGACGTGTCCGTCTGTGGGCAGTGTGTGTGTGTGTGTTATGATGTGTGCATCTGTGAGTGTGCTTTTGTGGGCAGTGTGTATGGTCTGTATGTATGTGTGAGTGTTTGTGTGCGGTCAGTGAGTGTGTGTGTGTTATGATGTGTGCATCTGTGGGTAGTGTGTGTGTGAGATTAGTGTGTT